ATCCCACATCCTGCATCCCCCATCCTTGTATCCTCACATCCCGCTTCCCCCATCCCACATCCCAGCACTGGACCCGGGGCTCATCCCGCAGCCCCGGGCCTGCTTGGAGGCTCTTCCCTCTGACAGCTCAAATATTCCTGTTGGTTTCCGCATGTCTAATTCCTTTGGAGATTGAGAAATAATTATTATTATTTATTATTGGGATATATATTATCCCTATATATATTATTATTGGGAAATAATAATAATAATGATAGTAGTAATAATAATAGTAATAGTAATAATAGTAATAATAGTAATAGTAATAGTAATAATAGTAATAGTAATAGTAATAGTAATAGTAATAATAATAATAATAATAATAATAATTATACAGAGAGCACCATCATTTCTGGATGTCTTGAGGGGAAGACAAAAAAAAAAAAGACCAAAATCCATTTTTTGCCTCCAGAAATGGGCTTTAAATCTCTCTTGATGGCAAAAATAAGACTAGAAAGGAAAGACTCCAGCAGCAATTTTTCCATTTCCAGCTTAATTTGTTTGGCAGCAGCTTTTACCAACTCTTGGGCAAAGCTGTCCCCCTTTCCTGCAGCCGAGGGGGTAAAACTGTGCCCAGTGCTGCAGCTCCTGCTCCCTGGAAAGCTCTGGATGGGCTGCCCAGTCTCTTCCAGCCTCTCCAGGAGAAAAAAAAAAAAAAAAAGAAAAATTCAAAATATTCCGTATTCCTGGGGGGTGGTGGAGGGGGAGAGGGGTGATATTTCTAATGGAAATACCCCCTTTTGCTCTTAAAAAAAAAGGGCTTTCAAAGGAGGTGCTTTTAGCATTTTGATTTATTTCTTGGGGGGGGAAAAAAAAAACAGGGAAAATTAAAAAAAAAAATCTGGGATTTAGGGCAGCCGGTTGTTGGAAGCGTCYGCGGGCTCCACGCGCCCCCGCGTGGTCCTGGCGCAGGGAGAGACGCGGGAAGATCCCGGGGACACCGGCGGCCACCGACCCTCTCCCCGGCTGCCGAGCCGCATCCTGATCCCGGGATATGATGGGAATTGCGCCCAGCCCAAAGCAGGACGCGCTGCCCGTTTTCCCCTTCCCATTTCCCCTCCCCTTTTTCCCTTCCCATTTTTCCCTTCTCCTGCTTTTGGGTCTTACACCCAGGGGAACCCTGCGCCGCTATCGGGCATGTCCCGGCCAGGCCCGTAATTCCCGCTCCTCCCCGGGCTCTTCCCGGGCTCCTCGTTGGGCTCGTCRGCACACAGGGCTCCAGCGAGGAAAGCGGCACCCCCTGCATCCCATCCCAGCTCCCAGGAATGCCGGCCACATCCCCGCTCCACGGCCCCTTGCAGTGCAGCTCGCTCCAAGCCGGGGCCCTCCGGGGATTTATTCCTATAATTTGCAGGCACGGCGAGTGCAATTATTACAGCAGATTTTCCGTGCACGTGCTGCTTTCCCGGCACCTCGCAGGAAAATACGCCGCATTTACAACCGGATTTTCTCCCTATGTCCTGCAATTTTGCTGTCCTTGTTGGGAAAAGCCCCACGACGGAGCCCCAAAACCTTGGGCTTCAGCACCCCTGTGCCCAGGGGACTTGGTCCGGGCGCCCCGTTATCCCAGCAAGCAAAAAACAACCAGGGAAGTATTTCCCATCGGCTTCACGGAGCTCTTCTTAATGCTGCCACGATACACAAATAAGCAGCTTAAGTATAATTGCAGGTTGTGTAATCAGCGTGAATGGGGAAATATGGAGTAATTGGTGCCGTATTTTATAAATATCCTAAGTGTTGAAGAAACGCAAAGTGTTTCTCCAAAGAAATACTGCAGCATAATGACTAGAAAGCCCTTTAATGCGAGCGAGCCGCTTTGCGAAGCCGGGTTTAGGCTCAGCCTAGTGAGCATAAATAGAGCTAATTGCCCTTGGATGCGARCGGGATGCTGGCGCCTTCCTGCAGAATGTGCGTTTTCCGAGAGTGCCGATTCCAACGGCTCCCGTCCACTGCAATTTCTGCCTTTTTTTTATATATATGTGCAGCACCTAAAAACGGGCGGACACATGTGGGCAAGGGCAAAGCAAGGATTGAGCCGGCAGCTGGATATTCAAGTGCAAATGTGGTTTTTCCCCAATTTTGCCCTGTTGATGTGCAAATGGGGACAGTGGAGACAAGGGACCCACTCTGGGGTCCGAAACTCATCCCTCCATACGCCTCACGTGCCGAGTTATATATGGGAAGTGCAAGCAAAAACGTAACTTTACTCCACCGGGAGACCTTATAGAAACAAAACGCTGCCTGCTCCTAAAGTAACTAATATCAGGATGGAAAGGAAAGGAAAGGAAAGGAAAGGAAAGGAAAGGAAAGGAAAGGAAAGGAAAGGAAAGGAAAGGAAAGGAAAGGAAAGGAAAGGAAAGGAAA